CCAGGAGGGGATGGTGAGAGTGCTCAGAGGCAGCTGCTGGGGTTCAATGTTTGTCTCATCCACCAGTCCTGTCTAGCTCAGGCTTGTCCATGGTTCTGTGTTCTGCCTTTGCCTGCCTAAAGCCTGGTTTTATGCAGAACATCACCCTGGTGGGATGTAACTGAGCTTTGGCAGTAAGAGGACAGTGTCTCTTAATTACCCCAAGCACTGCAGAGCCTTTGGTATCATCCTCTGAAGGTGCTGCAAATAAACCTTCCCTGAGCAGCAGTCCCTGTGACTGGCATAGCAATGGGCCCCTGAGCACCTGCCTGCCACCCACAGAGTGCCAGCCAGAGCTCAGCCTCCTCTTGCTGCTGCCACCGTGTCCCACCACTCCCAAGGGCTTTGTAATTCCTTATTTCCAGCTGAACTCCTCTGCTACACCTGTGTCCTGGGCTGATCCCAGCCCTCCCTGAGGAAACTCACAGCTCATTAAAACGTGACCCAAACATCCCTGACAAGATCTGGAATCAGCCAACACATGCTCAGGTTTTTACTCCTGCAGTCTTAAGGTGCCAGCTCTGTGTGTCAAGATTTGCAATTTAATGAATGGCTAATAGCAGCTCATATAAAGCTGTGCTTTCACACCAGCTTCCTTTGGCTTGGTGTCAAGCTGGGGAACTGACTGCCTTCCTCTAAGGGGCTCCTAGAAGTGCCCAGCATGATCAATTTTCAGTTCATACTCGAATTTGAGGTGAGGGGAATTATCCAGAGGTTGCAAAGCCGAAGAAGATGTTCAGAGATAGCAAATGTGAGTGCCTCTTCTCCTCTCCCACTCCTTTTGTTATTGAAACACAAATAAACTCCTCAACCAGAGAAACAAAATGATGAGTGAGTGCCCCAGCAGTGGTGTCACAGCTCATGGCCACCCTGCAAACTCCTGGTGACAGTCAAGAAGATTCTCACAGGAGCACAGAAGTCCTCATGGCTCTGTCTGGGACTAAAATCAGCCTGAGAGCAAGCAGAGTGTGACCTCAGTGCCCTGCCTTGTGCCTGGGGACATGCTCCCACAGCTCATTTTCTTCCTATCATTATCCAAGCTGTCCCTTCCACTTGGTCCTTGGATGGGAGTGAGCAAAACCTTGTCTCAACTCCTCCACTGAAGGGTATCCAGCCTCTGGTTTGGCTGAGGTGATTTTAGGGAGCTTCCGGGGAAAATGTGAGCCTGTCATTTTCCCCAGGCTCTGACAAGTCCAGTTACTCCCACGGATTTCTGAGGCCACATTACAGCAAACGAGCTGTAATTGCTGTGAAGGAATCAGAGCCAAAGGGACTTGCAGGGGAATTTTAAATGAGCAGATATTTCTGTACTGCCCCCGAGGTGCAGCTGAGGAGCTTTTCCAGCTTTAGCCACCTGTGTGGCTGCAGTAACAGCCCACACATCATCACTGCTGACGGGAGCTGAGGCTTGGGAAGAGCAGCAACAGGAGGGAGTTGGAGTACAGAGTCCAAAATATGAATATTGGTGGCCCTGGTTGTAAAATGACCATGCCCTAGCTGGCACTGGCCCTCCATGCCAGGTTTGGCACTTTGGATCATAGAATTGTAACTGTATTATGTATGCCCAAAAGGTCCCCAGCAAGGAGAAGTCTTGCTCAGGTTCCAGCTCGAAGTAAAGCAAAGCTTTAAGTGAGACCTTCCACAGTAAACCTAGGAAATGCAGCTGATCCCATGGACAGCAGGGCCTTCATGCCTCTTTGTCAGAAAGGGATTTGACTATTTTATTTCATTTTTTAGACTCTACAAAGATCCTCTTGCATTGGAGCTTTCCCTGTTTAGTACTTAGAGTTCTGAAGAATCTGTGGTGGTGACCAGAAAATAATTTTGTTTTGTTATGCTTTTCTTTCACGGCTCCATTAGTCCAGAACGCCAAATTCAGCTTAAAATTCAATTTTATATAATCACCTCTCTCCATCAATACACCAGAGAAAACCAGCTCATAAGCTGTGTTGTCCTGAGGCTCAGCTGAGGCTCCAGCCCCATCCATCTCCTTGTGAGTGTGACCTCGGGAGAAATAAGAGAGCCAAGAAGAGAGGAGGCTGCCACATGTCACAGGGACATTTTAAACCCATCATTTTGCAAGCTGCTCATCTGACATTAACTTCTGTCAGCATTTGGATTTTAATAGGATGGGGCAAGCTCTTTGAACGGCGCCTGGGGCTGACAGGGATGGTTTTGGAGCCACTGACAGGGCAGAGGGAGTTCTCACAGCTCAGGCAGCTGTGAGCCCGGGGGGTGACTCACAGCATCCCCTTCTCTCCTCCCTTTGGCACAGGTGCAAGCCCTTCTGGAAGAGATGTTAGAGAAGCTCACAGATGAGTTCAACATGGCAGAGCTGGTGGCAAAGGTGGAGGAGAGGACGCCCTACGCTGTGGTTGCCCTGCAGGAGTGCGAGCGCATGAACGCGCTCACGGCCGAACTGCGGCGCTCGCTCACGGAGCTGGAGCTGGGGATGAAGGTGGGGACAGCTCAGAGAGCACACCCAGAGCAGAGTCGGGTGGAGTTCAGAGGGTAAAGTGGGGTTTTATTAAAGGCCTTCAATAGATACACCTTGGGCAGTCAAAGATGAACTATTGATGCCTGGAGAGTTGCCTGGAGCAGAGGCTGGGCAGTGCTGAAGGAATAAAGCAGGGATTTATTCCAAGCCCTTCCAAGGATTCACCTTGGGCACTGCAAGAGCCCGGCCGTGGCTCCAGCCAAGATGGAGCCAAG